TTAGAGGGAGAGGGAGAGGGAGAGGGAGAGGGAGAGGGAGAGGGAGAGGGAGAGGGAGAGGGAGAGGGAGAGGGAGAGACCCTGTCTCAGAAACAACAACAAAAAACTTGCAATAATTGATAATTGCCGGGAAAGGGTGAGGGGAAAAAGGGGAGCCAAGGAGCAGTAAGTGGGTTTGATGGAAGCAGCAGCCTGTTCCACCCAGTGAGACACACTGTGAGAGCTGACAGAAACAAGCCTGAGCTGCAGTGCTCCACTCCCTATGAACCATGGCTTATGGCTTTAAAAGACCTAGACTGTAAAAAAGCAAACAAGAAAAACATGCCAATAAAGATATGGGATAAGGAACTGAGCAGAGAGCTCTGAAGGAAACATACAGTCAAATTCTTTTAACGTGTTTAACCTCCTTAGCTAACTTCTTACCTGGTCAGAATGACTATCATCAATGGACAGCAAATCTGCTGAGGATGTGAAGAAAAGGGAGCCTTTACTGATTGTTTGAGGGAATGTAGTTAGTTGCACCTCCAGTGAAATCAGTCTGGGGTTTTGTTCTTGGGTTTAGTTCATTTGACTTGTTTTGGTTTTGAGACCATAGATCTCACTTTGCAACCTTAGTGGTAGTTTCTGAAATTAGAAGCTACTCAATCATGTAGCTAACCTCTTCTGGATATACACCCTGGGAATCCCTATCATACCACAGAGATACTGACACGTCCATGTTTACCACTACTCTTCACAAAAGCAAAGAAATGGAATAAGCCCAGATATCCATCAATATAGATGGATGTAAAATGAAACTATAGTGTAAATACAGTGGGATTTTATGGGTCATAAAATGAAATTTACAAGGAACTGTATTAAACAGGAAAATATAAGGTGAAGGTAATTCAAGAAGACAATGACAACATGTTCTCTTTCATATACAGATACTAACTTCTGAAAAAAAAATATATATATATACATATATTTCAGCTTCTGACTGTCTCTAGTGGCTCATCTCCATGAGGCAAGTATTCCATCTTCCTGGTGAACTAGCAGTGACTCAGGACACAAGATAGATGATCATTGTTTATTGACTAAAGAGGTAAAAGTATGGAAAGAAATTCTGGAAGAACAAGTTGGTATCTGGGATACAATAAATAGATATAAATAACAATAAAGATATGCTTACAGGTGGTAGGTAAATGAGGAGCAGAGATTGATACTTGCACAATGCTGACTTTCATGTAGTTTATTATAATTTTGCCCTGTGCTGACAAATGGCTGAGCCACTCTTTTGAGACTCCTGAGCTGTATCTTTGATGATGAAACAGTGTTTTCTAAGTCATCACTCCTGTAGTCTGTTCTCAATGGGAAGAGCTAGACCATATGTGAACCGGGCATGATTGTACATTGCTGGAATCCTAGAACTTGAATGGCATAGACAAGAAGCTCTGAGTAAGTTCAAGGCCAGCCTGGTCTACGTAGCTCTAGACCAGTGCTTCTCAACCTTCTTAATTTTTTTCATTGCTACTTCATAACTGTAATTTTGCTACTGTTGTGAATCCTAATGTAAATATTTTTGGAGATAGAGGTTTGTCAAAGGGGCCATGACCCACAGGTTGAGAACCTCTGTTCTAGACTGTCCAGGGCTAGAATGTATCTAACGTGGAGATAACTCACTATTATTTACTTTATTCTCATACTGTATGTTAGGTCTACTAATTTATTCACTACAGTTCTAGGTACTTTTTCCACTTGACTGGTGTTTCTGTTTACCATTATTTCCACTGCCCACCTAGCTCTACACTGTGTCTATTATGCAACATAGAAAACAGTTTACTTCTCAGTAGGAACACTTGTCTAGGCTCTTTGAACCATGAGATGCCCCAGTATGAAGAACATGATGGTCCATCTCAGATTCTCACCTTTGATGTTCCATATGACTTTACCTCCTGTTTCCTAATAACCCTGCATAGTTTTCAATCTTTGGAAAATCAGAAAAGGCCATCTTTAATCCCAGCACTCGGGAAACAAAGGCGATGGGATGTCTGAGAGTCCAAAGCCTGAATGATTTACATGTCCAGTTCCAAGCCAGTCATACTAACATAGCGAGACCATCTCAAAAATAAAAAAATCGTTTAAGTTCTGGTGAAAATAAGAAAAGTAGAAGAAAAAGAGAAACAGATTAAGAGCACTTGTTGCTCTTGCAGCTGTCCTGGATGCTATAAACTCAGCATGCACGCAAAAATACATAAAATAGATCTAATAAAATCAGAAAAAAGGTACATTTAGGAAGATGTAATGTTACAGTCTCTTAGAATTGTACACACATACAAGAAGTAAATAAATCCCCTAACAATGTGAGGTAGCCTTGGACTTTGACTCTATCACATTCCACAGGCCTTGCCTGGCTGTATGGAACTGATGCACTTTGATGCTTGCCTCTGTGTCACTAGAGTGTGGGTTCAGCCATGGCACTTTCTGGGAAGGGAAAAAAAAACCCTCAGAAACCACCAGATGAGCCATAATAAGTACTGGCAAGGTTTACCTCCGTTAGTGGTGGTGCGCATGCGCGTCATCATTGAGGGCTACGTGGTAGTGAACTGAGGGAACCCTTATTCAAATCGGAAATGGCCTAGAGTGATCACATCCGCTCAGACCTTAAAGTAGTTCGCTTCGGCTGTCGTTGCCAGGGCAGCGTGGGTGTTTGGAATCCTAACCCTTGGAATTGTGGGTGTCTGTGGGCGGAAGTCTCGCAGCCCTGGCGTGCCGTGTGCAGAGCGTCTCTAAGGTGCAGTGTGAGGTGAGTGGCTGCGGAGCAGGGAGGACGCTGTGCTGCTGAGCGCTGGTTTGTGCTGAGTGATGGTTGAATCGGCTGCAGGGGGATGCCGTGGATAAAGTGGGGGTCGTTCGGTTCGCTTTCATTCTGTTCCTGCGGGCTTTCCGAGTCTGTATTTTGTCACTTCCCAGTATGCTCTCCTGTGGGATTTCCCACCGTCGTCCGTGAAAATTACCATGTGAGGGCATTCGGGGCAGGACCCAGTGAGTGGGCGCTGCAGCATCCGGGAGCTTCAGGGTGAGGACCTTGAGGTGGCTCGTGATCCGCTCAGTCAGCGATTGGCTTAGGATTTAGCGAGCGGGGCTGCTCAGGCAGCGATGAAGCCTGGGGCCAGTGTAGGGTGCTTTGTGAGGGCGACCGCGCTGCTTCCTGGGCTATTTGAGAAGCTGGTAACTGGAGCCCTGGCTCCGGGTCAAACACTGGCCTGAGAGAGGAAAAAAACTCCAGAGTATGAGAAAACGGGGAAATTACTTTATTTACATTTTGGCCCAAACTGGGACACAGTGTCCTCCATCTATGTCAGCCTAAGCAGTATTAGCAATAGAAGGAATTGCATGGAAGCCGGGAGATATGCTTAGGGATATTTAATGTGAACACAGTCATCTAAGCTGGGACATAAGCCTTGGGGCTGGCCTCAGGTGATCTGGATATTTCCATTCCCTGTGTCCCTGTCTGCAGTTGAAGACAGAAAAAGGATTTAAAAAAAAAAAAACTAATCCCAATTCAATTACAATTGCCAGTTTACATAAATACTGTGGCCCTTTGCAGATGTGAGGTCTGATCGGAGGTTTGGCCTGTTCCTGGGACCTGTGAATATGGTAAGGATTAGTGATTGGCAGTTAAGCAGAAAGGTGCTGCTCTAAAAAGACAGAAGCTTGGGTTCCTGCATCCAAACAGGCTAGGGCCAGTCTCATCCAGTGTGCCTACTGTGGAGGCCAGTGAGGATGAAAGGCAGAAGGGGAGCTTGGATGTGGATGAGGAGAGTTGCATTCCCAGCACCCACACTCACATGGTGGCTTTGAACTGCCTGGAAGAGTTCCAGAGGATCTGTGATCCCTCTGTCCTCCCAGCTAATGGTGCACAAACACACAGACAGGCAGAATACCCACACACATACCATTTTTAAATGTTTGAATAGTAAGGATAAATCTTTTACAATTTTTTTTCCTTAACCTAGAATGAGCTACCTTCTCCATCTAATCCCTACCTCTTAAGCAAATGTTAAGGGAAAAAAAAAGAAAAGCAGAGGAAGAGATTCCATACATTGGTTACATTAAGCAGGAGAGTTAAAGTGACCTAGTGGCCCCATGTCTGTCTCCAGTGCACAGACTGGGGTTTAGGTTTAGAAGTCAAGAGGTAAGTATTAAAGTTGTGCTGAGGTTGTGGGGCACACGACTGTCCTGAAATCTGAGCACTCTGGAGGCACAGGCTGGAGGATGACTGCAGGATGGAGGCCGGGCTGGGCGTGAAGTAGGTTAGGGATTGGAGCAGCATTTGGCTCTGATTTAAGAGCCAAAGTGAAGAAAGAAGACATACACAGTGCTTTTTAGTAAAAGTAGCCGTGTGTGTGTGTGTGTGTGTGTGTGTGTTTCATCTTTTAAGATTAATGTGTATGAGTGTCTGCTTGTATTGTACATAGGGACAGTGAGTGTGTGCCTAGTGGACATCTGATCCTCTGGAGTTAGAGTGACAGGAGGCCGGGATCCACCTGCCTCTGCAGTGCTGGGATTGGAGGTCTGCAGGCAAAGTTTCCAGAAACCAAATGCTACCCCTATGTCAAAGATTCTTCAGGGCCAATGAACAGAAAAGCACTAGGGTGATTGGAGAGAGTTTATATGTTTCAGGTGTGGAGTCTTTAGTTGTCTTTGGTCCCCTCAACAGTTAGTCAATATCCATCTATGTATTTTACTTATATAGCCCATTAGTTTCCAACAACTGAAAGGCTAAGAATGTCATTGGAGAGCATGTGAGGCCTGTAATAGAGTTTCTCACCATGCTGTAATCTGACGGTCCCACCAGTGTTCATTATTTGTTGTTATTGCTTGGGCGTGTATGTTATGTACAGGTTTATTTGGCTATTGGTACATGTATGTGTAAGGTGAGCATGGAAGCCAGAGGATACTCTCCAGTCTTTCCCTCCAGCCCTCCTACCTTACTTTTTGAGAGTCCCTCCCCCGCTTTTTGTGTGTGTGTGATGTGCATCTATAGGTCAGAGGACAACTATCAGGAGTTACTCTCTCTCTTTCTACCATGTGCGTTCCAGGTATCAAACTCATGTTGTCAGGCTTGTTGGCAAGCACCTTTTCCCTCCAAAGCAGTGGTTCCCAACCTTCCTGCTGCTGTGACACTTCAGTATAATTCCTTATGCTGTGGTGACACCACCCCCCCCCCGTGAACTTATTTGTTTCTACTTCAGTTTTGGCTCTCACCAATGTACTTCAGAACTACTCTGCTGTATGGCTTCATTTTGTTCTCCTATACCAAGATTTCACCAAGCTGCTGTTGCACTGGAACATGGTAGTAATAGAACCGGATTCTCTGCTCCCAGGCCGTGGTACACTTGGCTCTAGAATACATGGTTCCTTTTCCCTTTAAAGTGACAGCTGTGTTTTTGTATAGCCAGACTCTAGGTATGGCTGACAAAAGTAGCTTCTAGAAGCTTCTTTCAGTGCTGCTTCCAAGCCAGGCTTGCTGGATCGTACATTTATTCCCTGCACTGGGGGATGAGGCAGGACAATCAGAATGTCAAAACCAACCTCTGTTATAGAATGAGTTCAAGGCCAGCAGGCCAAATGACCCTATCTCAAAAAAAAAAGAAAAAAAGCAGCATCAATATTGTTTCCAGCCTGGGATCTGTTATTTGGACCTTTGTGTTGCGAGTTATTTGGAATTATGTGGAAGCCAATAAATAACACACTAGAGAAAATTTGTGTTAGCTATAATTTTAGGGTCCTGCAGCATGTCAGTCACTGGGAGGTAGTTTGTAACCTGGCACTCCTGTATCATCTTTAGAGGTCACTGAAAATCCTTGGTCTGAGTGAGCACATCCAGTATAGCTGAGAGACTCACTATAGAAGACACCCACAGTCATCCGGAGGACGCTCGTATCTGTCATCCTTACACTTGATAGGTGATGGAGCCACGGCACTATGACCTGGAGCCCAGCCTGCAGCGTATAATGACCTGTGCTACAGAATAACAAAGTGAAAAGGAGGAAAGGGGAGGATTACAGACCAGAGGTCCTGCTCCTTGTGCATACCTCATCTTCTTTGGTCAAGAAGGGGATACAGAAGTGTCTTAGAAGAGAATAGGCTTCGAGGTACATTAGTAAGTTTGAGCAGTGTCTAGAAACAAACAAAAACTTGAACTGGGTCAGTGTATCGTTTTGTGTAAGTGAGATATATACTGATCCTCTCTCTTCCATTTGATGACCTCAGGTCATGTTAGGGAACATCATACAGCCTCATTTGCCACCTTTTAAAACACCAGGTATAGTAGCCTCTGACATACAGCTGAAAAGATTGTCTGGGAAAAAAGCTGATTTATTTATTTATTTATTTATTTTTTAAGTCATACTTTTGACCTGCCAAGTTAAAAGCTGAGGTCTGATGAGCCTTATCCTGCATCAAATTCCCAATGCCAGTGACCAATACTTGCATCTCTGTTTTCTGTCACCTTACTTAATACCTTCCTGTTGTCACAGTTAAGAGGTAGAAGGGAGAGTTGGACATTTCTGGGCTTTGCTCTGCAGACAAAATGACCTTCAGGTAGAACCTTCAACTCTTCATGGGCAAATAAATGTTGGGTGAGTGATGATATGGTCATTGACTTCCCAGGACTTTCTGATGTCTTTGCAGATCTCTGGGTGAGGCTAAGCCATTCATAGTGCCAATTTTCCCAACATAACCAAGCTAGCCTCTGCCCGGCAACTCTACATGGATCATCCACATGCTGACCTATCTTCAGAATCCTGAGAAAATCAGAGACAGACCAAGAGTAGAAACCACAGAGGATATGCCTACTGACATGAATTTCTGCCAGATGCCCCAGCGATTGAGAGCAGAGAAGCAGGATGGATCCTGTGAGGTGAGGAGAGATGCCCCAAGTTCAACTTTTCTTAGCGAGGTTGTAGACATTGGAAGCAGAATATTGGATTCCTATTCCGAGGACAGCCTTGATTCTCCACCTAAGAGTGAAACGCAGAAGGCGAAAACCCCAGTGTTTCCTCATCTTCTCTTGACACGTTCATTGTGCCGCTTCTTGGATGTAGGTTTATCTGCCCATCTATGACTCCCTGGTGAATCTTGTTCCTATTCAACCCAGAGGATTGATTGGCAGGACAGAAAAAGTAGGTATATCCAAGTCTAGCTTGGTGAGGCAGATATATATATATATTTTATGATAGCATGTGTGAAGTACAATCTTCAGGGATATGGGGACCTTGGGCAGCTGCATCCCCAGTAACTGTTACAGCCTTCCCCCAGCTGTGTGTCCAGGGTACACATTTATGTAACATGAAGGAGTGACCTCTAGAACCTCTTCTCCCGTCTTCCAGAAGGGAATGGTTCAGTGCCAAGGTAACAGCTACATAGCATTCTCTTTACCACACATGTGTACAGGTCCCTGAGTCTTTTGACTTTCTCTCCCAGTTCATAGATACACATTGGCTCCTCAAAGCTGAGTATCTTAGTTTAATATATATTATTTTATGTGTATGGATGTTTTGCCTGCTTGTATAGCTGTGTGCCATGTGCACAGAAGAAGGGCATGTGCACAGAAGAAGGGCATCCAATCCCCTGGAACTGAAATTAACAGCCAGTTGTGAACTGCCATGTGGGTGTTGGGTTTTGAACCCAGATCTCTGGAAGCTAGTGCTCTTAGCTAAGCCCTCTCTTTAGTCTGAAGCTGAGTATCTCAAAATAATAATTTAGATATGTTGGGCTAAATTAAATATGCTGTTGAGTTGATTTCATCTGTGTGTAATTAATATGGCTGCTAGAAATTTTGAGATGACTTTGTGGCTCCCATTGTATTTGCATTGGAGATCTCTGATCTGGAGAATGATCAGACTCCATTTTTGTTTTTCCAGACAGGGTTTCTCTGTGTAGCCCTGGCTGTCCTGGAACTCACTCTGTAGACTAGGCTGGCCTTGAACTCAGAAATCCACCTGCCTCTGCCTCCCAAGTGCTGGGATTAAAGGCGTGCACCATCACCGCTCAGCTGATAATACTCCAATTTTATTTTATTCTTGCAGTATGCTTCACAGTGACCTCATGCCTGCACTGTCGTATCTTGCCAGGTTTACATCATGCTGGTCATGTTTCTCCTGTGATGCTAAAATCATTACTGTCACTGTCCCAAAATCCTACCTTGTAGATACCCAGCAGCGCTTCTCTTGTGTAGTTTAGCAGCCATTTTCAAAGAGGAAAGTGCTGTAATCGTAACTGCTCTTCAGAAGGCTGCATTTCTATCTTAGGTGCTGCTAACAGCAGATCTTTCACCCTCACATTGAGTAACACACACTGGATGCAGTAAGACCAGCCTTTTACATTTGAAGATCTTTATGTCCCTGCAATTAATTACTTAAATGACAATTCATGACTCAAAATTGAAAAGTCCATACCCTCTTCACCCACCCCCAAGTACCTCCTTGTGATTTGGATGACAACTAGACATGGCTGTTACTGTCTCCTCCTGCTCAGAGCTCTTGGCCACTCCCTGAAACCATGGCTTTTCCTACCATCCCCCTCCATCCTAGTTCTCCTCTAGAATATGCGTTTCCACATTCCAGTTCACACTGCTCACTTCCCATCTAGGTTGCTGTACTCTGATTAGTAACAGACATTCCCAGGTATGTGTCTAACTTGCTCTTCCCAAAAATTTGCTTTGTATATGTTTCTAAAAATATTTCTTTTTAGCCCCGTATGGGTCTTTATATTTGCTATTTGGCAAGTCTGAGTTTCTTTAAGAGTTAAAAACTCGTATAGTATTGAATTTCAGGGACCCAATACAGCTATAGACAAGTATAATGTGGCTTAATAACTGTCATACTGTTTAATCTTTGATCCATTTCTGGCCTCCTGGTGAGGGGTTAATAGTATTTAATAGGTGGCAAGTTATTTTTTATATATTGTTTTCCTTTACGTCCCAAAATACAATGATACAATGAAAAATAGATGTTTTGTAGAATGTGGGGGGGAACTAAAAACGCATGTCCTGTTTGTCAGTGTTAATTTACAATGAGCATGTTATTGCAGAGATTAGTGTCCTTCGAGGATGTGACGGTGGACTTCAGCCAGGAGGAGTGGCAGCACCTGGACTCTGCCCAGAGACGCCTGTACCAGGACGTGATGCTGGAGATCTACAGCCACCTCTTGGCAGTGGGTGAGCACCGCTGGCTGGGGAATCTAAGATCTGGGCCTACTTTCCTTATTTCTCTTTTCCAAACATGGTGGAATATCAAGTCTGTTATGAGTTTTTCCCTTCTTTCGTCTGTTAGTCCTTTTTGGTTATTTACATGTGTTGCTTTGTGCTGCCAATAGTGAGCTTTATTCAAGAAGCCTGCAAGGCTGATTTCCCCAAGTTGTATTCTCACTTCCACGTATATACCATGGTATGTGCAACACATGCAAGTGCAAACACACACACACACACACACACACACGTACCCCACACTAAATGTGGGGTGTATGTGTATTAAGGTTTTATTTTTATTTTACATGTATGGGTGTTTTGCCTTCTCATGTCCATATGCCATGCGTGTGCAGTGCCTGTGGAGACCAGAAGAAGGCGTCAGATTCCTCGGAATTACAGTTAACAATTTAGCTGCCATGTAGATGCTGGGAACCAAATCATCAGCAGGAACAACAAATGGTCTTTGTTTGTTTTAGTTTATTCTTCTCTCATGTAGTACATCCCTACTGTAATTATACTGTAATTATATGTATAATAGCCCCTCCTCCCAATCCCTTCACCACCTTCCTAGTTTAATCTTATTTTATATTTGATTGCTGTGAAGAGACATCATGACTACAGGAAGTCTTTGAAAGGACATTTAATTTGGGGCTGGCTTACCGTTTCAGGTTTAGTCTATTATCATCATGGCAGGAAGCGTGACAACATGCAGGCAGACATGGTACTGGAAGAGCCAAGAGTCTACATCTTGATTAGAAGATAGCAAGAAGGAGACCAACTTCCTCAGGCAACCAGGAGGAGACTAGATTCCACACTGGGCGGAGCTTGAGCATAGGCAACTCAAAGGCCTACAGAGACCTTCACTTTGTCCAACAAGGCCATACCTCCTCCTATAAGACCACACTTCCTAACAGTGCTACTTCCTATGGCCAAGCATTCAAGCATGTGATAGCCAAACCTATTCAAACTACCTCACCCCCTCTCCCTCAGATTCACTCCTCCATTTATTTCAGAAAAGAGGAGTTTGGCCAGAAATATCAATCAAGCATAATATAACAAGTTACAATAAGACTAGGCACATCCCCTCATATCAAGGCTGGATGAGGCAACACAGTAGGAGGAAAAGGGTCCTAAAAGTAGGCAAGAGTTAAGAAACAGCCCCAACTCACACTGTTAGGAGTCTCACAAGAACACCCACCTACACGATCATTTGCAGAGGACTTAGGTCAGACCTATACAGGCTCCCTGATTTTTGGTTCAATCTCTGAGTCCTGTTGGTTGATTTTGTAGGCTGTGTTCTTATGGTGTCCTTGGCCCCTCTGTCTCCTTCAATCCTTCCTCTCTCTCTTCTGCAGGATTCACCAAGCTTTGCCTAATGTTTTGGCTGTGGATCTCTGTATCTGCTCCTGTCAGTTGATGGATGAAGACTCTCTGATGACAATTATTCTAGGCTCTGGTCTACGAGTATAGCAGAATATTATTAAGAATCATTTTGTTGCCTTTTGTTGTTGTTTTGTTTTTTGTTTCGTTTGGTTTGATTCTATTCTAGGCCTCAGGGCTCTCCAGCCTCTGGTTCCTGGCCCTCTGAGCAGTGTCAGGTGTCGTCTTTTTGTGGTTTTAGTCTCAAGTTGGACCATTGATTGGCTACTCCCACAAATTCCTCTACCCCAGCACATCTTGCACACAGGACAAATTGTAGGTGGAAGCTTTTGTGGCTGTGTTGATGGAAGCCTTTCCTGGTTACAGAAAAGAGCTGGTTCAAGTTCCATATCCCACCTCACTAGGAGCCTTCCCTAGGGTCACCCTTATAGATTCCAGGGAGTTTCCATTGCACTAGGTTTGCAACAAGTGTTCTTAGCCACTGAACTGTTCTCCAGCCTACCTCCTATGTGTGCATGCATGTGTGTGATTTTTTTAACTAAAGAATAACAATTTGAGAATGTAGTTTATTGCTCAGAGTGGAATACTTGCTTAACATGAGTGAGGCTCAGCTTTGATCCTCACTGCCATAATAAAGACAAAGAAACTTAACCAAAAACAGAGAGGAAAAGGGCAAAGGACACGAATATGCCTTTCTCCAGAGCTACTGACATCTTTTCTGCAGCCTATTCTTTAGATATTAGCTGTCCCCCAGCAATACGTATAATAGCCTTGGCAGATCCCTCCTGTATACTACATCTGTATGGCTAAGTCTCTTATTTGTTGAGCTATTTGCCTTTGCCCAAACCAAATCTTCCCCAGAAGTCAGCTTAGTGGTGTTGGCCACTAACTGTAGCTCCCAGTCTCACATATAAAACAAGCAAAGTAGATGTAGCTGTATGGGGCTTATTTTGAGTTCATTGTGTCCAGTGTATAGAAAGTTGCCTGGCACACATGGGTGCCGTATATATGAAGTGTGGTATATAATAAGGGTTTTGTAGTGTTCCTTAGCATCATCATCCATATAATGAACATGACTACTACCTGACTTAAATTTCTCACTGTTCAGATTCAGTTCTATGTGATTCTTCCTCCATCCTGTTCACTGCCTGTTACTTCATCTCTCTCTTCTCTACAGGTAAATTGCAGCTTGACACACAACATCAACAAATTTTTGTGAAAGCTTCATTTCTAAGTGATACAGCCAGTGAAGTCACAAGACTTGGCTCTTCATATTGCCCCGTTTTAGAGAAACTCTGGCCAGATGATGACACTGCTGCAAAGACAGATCAGCAAAGCCAGGTCCTACCCATAAGTCCTGATGCTTTCCAAAACCAGAAAATTCTGAACATAGATAGTGCTTGTGACTATGAAGAAACTGGAGAATCTACTCTTTTTGAACCCCACTTCATGTCTACACAATATGTACCTCCAAGAGCAAATAGTGATAGTCAAAGCAATACCATAAAGCAGCTGAATGATATCATTGGATCTCATCATTTTTTTACACAAGGCTCTTCTAATGGTGTGTGTACAGTTCCTCATCAAACAGAGAAATCATACAATGAGAATCAGTTTGGAAACATTCTTTCTCCTAATCTACCACTTATGGATCATGAAATTAATTTTCAAGACAAACCAGTTGAATATACTGGATGTGGGAAGGCCTTCACTGGTGAGACAGCTTTCTGTCAACAACAAATAACTAACAATATGGAGACAGCCTTTATCTGTCACACATGTGGGAAAACCTTTCTTCACAAGTCTAAATTGACCTCCCATTCAGAAACTCATAGAGAAGAGACACCTTATGAATGTCCTGACTGTGCCAAATCACTGAGGCGTACGTCCAGTCTGCAAGTGCTTCGTGGAATCCAGACAAAGGAGAAACCTTATGAATGTCACGTGTGTGGGAAATCATTCAGTTATACATCCCACCTAAAGGTGCACCTTCGAACACATACTGGTGAGAAACCTTATGCATGTTCTGAGTGTGGAAAAGCCTTCAGCCAAAAGTCAGTTCTCACCATACATCAAAGAATTCACACTGGAGAAAAGCCGTACACATGCAGTGACTGTGGGAAAATGTTTGTTTGTGCATCAGATCTAACAAAGCATTGTCGATTTCACACTGGGGAAAAGCCTTATGAGTGCCCTGACTGTGGGAAATCTTTCAGTATTAAATCTAACCTACTTGCACACCATCGAATTCACACTAGTGAAGGACCTTACAAATGCTTTGACTGTGGGGAATCATTCAGGAAAATATCCCAATTGAAGATACATCATCAAATTCACACTGATGGTAGATCGTTTGTATGTTCTGACTGTGGAATGGCCTTCAGCCAAAAGTCAGTCCTCACCACACATCAGAGAATTCACAATGGAGAGAAATGTTACCCATGTAGTGACTGTGGGAAGTTGTTTCTTTATGCTTCAGATCTGAAGAAGCATTGTCGATTTCACACAGGGGAAAAGCCTTACAAATGTCATGACTGTGGGAAATCATACAGTGTGAAGTCACACCTACACGTGCATCATCGAATTCACACTGGTGAGAGACCTTACAAGTGTGATGATTGTGGAAAATCATTCAGAAGAAACTCTCACCTACAGATGCATCAGCAAACTCACACTGGTGAGAAGCCTTACAAGTGCTCTGACTGTGGGAAGTCATTCCGGAGAGCATCCCACCTGAAGGTACATCATCGAATTCATACTGGGGAGAAACCTTATGTGTGTTCTGAGTGTGGAAAGGCTTTCAATGATAGGTCGGTTCTCAGCACACATCAGAGAATTCACACTGGAGAGAAGCCTTACATATGCAGCGACTGTGGGAAAGCAATGTCTTCTAAAGCCAATCTCAAAGAGCATCAACGGATTCACACAGGCGAGAAACCATATGTGTGTGCTGAATGTGGGAAGGCCTTCAGTGATAAGTCTTCTTTCTATAGACATTGTAAAATTCATAGTAGGGGCAAACCTTTTGTCCATAACAAAGGTGAAAAGGGTTTCCTGCAGAATTCACAAGTGACATCCTATGAGCAAACTCAGAGTGCAGAGAAGCTATAGTGATTCTCTGCCTATGGGAAATCTGTCATTGCTATGTATCAGCTGAAGGCATATAGTCAAGGTCACAAATATTACCATTCCTGAAGCTGTGAGACATTGTTCATGAACTCTAGGTGCACCATCCATGCAATACTGGGAAGAGACATGTATTGTGAATGCAGAAAGTCCCTCAAAATCATGTCATCTCAGTAGACTCAAGTACTTATATCAGGCACTTATCTGATCATATAAAAGAATTTATTGTAGTCAGTTCCTCATCCATTTCTCTCATCAAAATATTCCCCTTGATTTTAATGAAAAGTTATCGTAGATCTAAATAAGACTAGGAAGATACAATACTCAGTTGGTAAAAATCTTTGTCTTCTGCAAACTACAGGCAAACACATACACACATAACATGCCACAGGTGTCTATATACAATACATACACAAACTTTATACAAGCCATAGTCCACAGTTAAAAAAAAAGCTTTGTATTGCTTGTTGAAACATAAATATAATTACATGTTTGAGAAATATTAACTTATAGGAAGAAGCACAAATGCCTGCACTGTAGTAGATGTGTTATGGACTGTGTTTCTTTGCATGCTGAAGAAATGTTGATTAATTATTTGAGACCTTCTAAAGTTAAAGTTACAAGGTTTTGAGGATTTAGAGAAACGTTTATTGGAAAATACATCAATAGATTTTTTGTTTAAGATTTTTTTTTTTAACATAAGACAGGGTCTTACTATGTAGCTCAGGCTGTACCAGAATATATAGACCAGACTGGCCTTGAACTCAACAGAGATCTGCCTGCTTCTGCCTCCCAAGGGGTAGGATTAAAGATGTGCACTAGTATGCCTGGCTGGATAGTAATATTTTTATTTTTACTTTCATTAATTAATTACTTTACATTCTAGTCAGAACTTTCCCTCTCGCCTTTTTTCCCTCCTTTCCTCTCCCTCCCTTTCGTCTTTGAGAAGGGGAGGCCTTCCATGAGTATCAACCCACCTTGGCCTATCAAGTTGCATCATCTGTTGAGGCTAGACAAAGCAGTTCATTTAGGGGAAAGGGGCCCAAAAGCAGGGAATGGAGTCAAAGACAGCCCCTGCTCCTATTGATAGGGGTTCCACATGAATACCAAACTGCATATGTGTTATAATATGTGTAGGGTGCCAAGGTCCTTCCCATGCATGCTCTTCTGGTGGTTCAGTCTCAGCAAGCCCCTATAGGCTCAGGTTAGTTAATTCTGTAGATTTTCTTGTAGTGTCCTTGACCTCTCTGGCTCCTTCAATCCTTCCTCCCCCTCTTTTACAAGATGATACTAATTTTTTAAAAGATTTATTTATTTATTTTATGTGAAGAGGGCATTGGATCCAATTACAGATGGTTGTGAGCCACCATGTAGATGCTGGGAATTGAACTCATGACCTCTGGAAGAGCAGCCAGTGCTCTTAACCTTTGAGCCGTCTCTCCAGCCCTATTTTTTAAATGTTACAAAACCTTCCTCGTTTCTGTCTAGGAAGGGACAGCTTATGCTGGGTTTGTTCCTAGCATGGTGGCCAGCAGTCAAAGTAGCTAGTTTTGGCTTCCTAGGCCTTTCACTAGATTTTTCACCACCATGTCTAGGCTCAGGTTCCTGGAGGTCATTACCTTCAAGGTGCCATGAGATACAGAAACCCAGAATATTCATGAACTGATGCCAACGCCTCCACAGTCCATTTGTGCTGGTATGGATAATGCTTCTCTCATATTCTTCCAGAGCCTCAGAAGATGGCCTGGTAGAAATGGCTTCTTTGTAGAAGTAACTTAGGATGCAGACAAACTTGGTCAGAGTTGGTCCTAAATCTGCTTAGTAACATACTTACTATAAAGCTATGTGAAGACTCAAAACTTTTGGAAGACAGGATCATCAAGGCAGAGATTTCAGTGACACACCTCCAAGCCATGGACTGTTGATGACTGTTAGCAACAGAAGCTTTAAAAAAAAAAAAAAGGAACAGGATGCTTTCTTCCTTTGTTATTTCCAAAATAAGCCATTCGTTTGCCAGTATACTGATTTCGATTCTAGTCCCAAACATGGTGAGAAAGTAAATTTTTGTTGTTTTGCCAACAATTCCAAACCAATATAGGAAAACCAATAGAGGGCTCTGGGATGCTCATGTAAGCTCATGGCCTGCCTTCCTGGTTCTACTCTTACATCTCAGTACTTTCTTTAATCAGTGTTTTCTCATCCACTATTCCTGAATTTATGTGCCCCCTTGTTCTCACTCTGGTTCCTATGTTTTTAGCTCCTTTTTTATTAAGCTTATTTCATGTTGCTATTCTTCCTATAAAACAATGGCCTCAACCTACCAGGTATCTACTCCTTATTGTTCACAAACCTATGTCCCTCATTTTTGCTTTCATTGAGACCCTCTGGACATGAATATTCCTTATTGGTTCAGACCATCTATTTCTTGTTTGTTTGTTTGTTGTTTTTTTGAGACCGAGTCTCTGTAGTCCAGGCTATATTCTAATCTCAGTATAGCAGAGGATGGCTCTGAAATCTTGAATCTTCTGTTTCTACCTCCCAAATGCTAGGACTATCATGGTGTGCCACTTCCTTTACCAGATGGTACTTTTACAAAAGACTATCATGATGTCTCCCATCCAACAGGTACTTAAAATCTAAGTCTGACTACACTATTGAAAGATGAGTCTGTCCCTGTTATCTTCAAGTTCAATGAGTAAAATAACAGAAATAACATGGTGTTTGGGGCCATACTAAAAGCAGTAGAGCGTATATATTTCTTATTTGAATGCTTGTTCATGAAGCCTTCCCCTGCCATTTAGTAAATCAAGTCATATTGAAGCCAATATACTATGAGAAAATCCAACTGAGCCAATGTGGAGAGGCCCAAAGATGAACATAAAACACATGAAGATTGATCCAGGACATCATTCCTATGGTTGGGACTTCAGTTATACCTCATCAGCTGTATGGAAAGCCAGTACCACAACCGCTTAGATGATCCTTCCCAGATTTCTGACTTAATGTGAACCTTGAAATTGAACAGTAACTTTAGAACATTAAGATTTACTTTGATATGTTGTTTTACAACAAATCAGAATATTCTCCTTTGTCTACACCAACCATGCTTTTGCGTGTAATTTTAAAAAGCACACTTTCTCCTTTGCCCAGGGCCATGCTCCTGGCTCAGCTCCGAAATCATGCTCCTGCCAGCCTGCACTCCACCAGCTACCTCTTACTCCTGGCTAGTTTTGCCAAGCTGACATCAACTGCCCCATCTTCTAAGACTAAGCCCAGTCCTTTAGGATGAGGTGATGGGGCAGTTGGGCAGATCCTTCTCACTGATGTCCATAGGTTAGGTCTAGCTAAGATTGGATTGAGCGTTCCAGTGAGGGCAGTTCTCATCTTTACACTGCCTTTTAGGAGGTGCATAAAGAAGATAATTCTCATTGATGATACTTTTATTAGAAGTATGCACCTACAGGTACCATTTGCACCAAGAAATGACGCCATGCTACATCCTGGAAAACGACACAGAAGTTCATTTTTCCTGTTACATACTGCTCAGTTTTGCCATATCCCCCTAGCCCTCTAAACCCTCTCTCACTCAGCTATCCCCCTATGTTACTATAATCCATCATGGATGTGTCTGTCTACAACTTCTCTACAACCATAGCAACTTGCTGAGGGTAGTGCTGAGAACTCACCTGTGTCTAGGTCCCACAAGAACCCAAGACCAAGCTCCAACTTCTCCAAACCATCTCACCTCTTAGAGCAGCATTCAGTGTGGAAAATGAGACAGATCTCAAAAAGCAGATCTTGATGGGCACCACAATTCCATCTTCTAGGGGTCTGGTCTTCTTTTAGAAATATGGATGAGGCTGAAGTGAACTGCTGACTGTACCCTGGGACCTTCCTCTTAATGTTAGGACCTCAAGTCCAACTACTATACAATTACAGAAATAGGAATGTCTCACTTTATATGCTTAACATTTGTGTCTCATAGTTCATCCCCAGAACAAAACCAAGGTGCTTTGTCCTGTATTCAGTAGATAGAAACTTATCTCCTTGATATCCATCAAGAATTGTCCACCCATCATGAACAACATGACCATGATGGTGTATCTTAGGCTCCTCTGATTCATCTCCATCATTCCCAGATCCTTATTTACTCAAGTTTAAGTGATTGTTCGAGGAGACAGAATCACATGGACAGTATCAGAATGCCACTTTATCCAGCTATATTTTGCATTTAGGAATTGATCTAAAAGATACACTTACATAATGAAAATACAAGATGATTGCACATTTCTGTTAGCAGAAAGGAATCAGCAGTGGCTGCCCATTAGTACAACATTGCCAGAGAATTGGAGTCCATTCGTGCCCTGGGTTTCTCAGGGGAAACAAGGACTATCTGTGCTTCTGACATCCAGTCTCACCATTGACACCCCAGGGAACAAACCCAGGATCTAGGTATGCTTTGGATATGGATCATTTCTTGAAGAGAACTAAGCAAAATACTCTGGGATGCACTACTATCTGTGTCTTCAGAATACTGTCCATGTGATTCTGTCTCCTCGAACAATCACTTAAACTTGAGTAAATAAGGATCTGGGAATGATGGAGATGAATCAGAGGAGCCTGAAGTACACAATTCTTATATATAAAAGTTGCCCTCTGCCTCTGGTGGCAGTTATCCAGAGGAATGGCAAGCAGTGGAAACAAGTAACCTGGCAGCTCAAGTGTGTACAGATGGCATGGTTACTCTATTGTTTATGGAGGCTGAAGGATGACCATCTGAACTGAGGTGAGGAGGCCCTGCTCCATAGCTTGGAAGGGCTCCCTGCTACATGAGTCTGCTCCTATTGAGACAAGGATTTAGGGATTTTATACAGTATCTTGGGAAAGAGAAAATTTTCCATCTTTAGAAAAATATGTGAAAGGGTACACTACCCCACAGAACACAAATGCAGAGGGATAGGATATAGACACTTTTCTGTCCCCTCAGATGCACCTCCAGGAAACAACTACCTTTATTTCCCAGCTCTGGTTCCCCTTTCTCTCACACCTTCAGGCACTCAGTGTTGTAGCTCCACACTCGGGAGTCTCTGCCTCAACAGTTCTGTGTGCAATTACATCAGCTCCAGGAGAGGTCACTAGGCAGGTAATTTGGGTGTCATCGTTCTAAGATAATAGTGAACTGAAGACGGTGGATGGTTTTTAGGGCCCAGAAAGGTAAGATAGTTGCCATCCAGGTAAGGTTGTCCCTGGCTCACAGATACAGCACAGAGGTCAGGATTCTGGCATGGATGGGCTCTTAGCTTCTCTAGGATGTGGATGCTAGGGTTCTGTGAGCCACTGAGGAAGAGAGACAAAGGTGCAGAAGCCCTTGTTTGTGTGTAACAAATGTGCCCTAAAATTAAGTATTGCCTCAAGCCAACTGTCTACTGCCAGGCAGGCTAGTATCCTATCTCCACAATCCCCTCTAGCTCTGCCCTGGCAATCCTCAGAGCCCCATTTCTGATTTTATTCCTTCCTCATTATATACACAGTGCTGGTTCTCTTATATCTGTTACATAAAGGCCTTTCTCCTATGTACTTTTTCCATGCTTTGATGAGCAAGGGCTAGTTGTGTTTTCCTCAATTCCTTGAAGAGGTAGAATTGGCCTTCCACTTACTGATCTTTGTTGGTGTAACCCCAGAAGTGCTGGAGTCTGTCTCTGTCCTGTATTCATTAGCCACAGACTAATCATTGGAAGAGTGAAAGGTGGGACAGAGGAAACTAAATGGCATAA